ACATCCGGATTTCAACTCTACTCGTCACCCTGATAACTTTGGTATATATAACCCTATATCTGACTTTTCAAACAAGGTACTAACGGTTTCAACTTTATCAAACCTTGAGAATTGTTATTAAAGCCACYTTTTCGAACAAGGTACGGACGTTTTGAAGTCAAATAATGTTTTGTTAACCTTTMATTTTATTCAATTGATAACAAGGGAGTAATGTCAAGGCGTAGAATTATCAAAGATATGGTCATGATAAACTCTCTTTCTCACTTCTTATACAAGTTCCGAACCATTTGCTTGTTGTTGTAACGATTACCTATATCCTACTTGGAGAAAGCAATATGTTAGCTGTCGTCGAAATCACTTWACACTAGTCCACGGAATCATTGTTTTGACGGGCTCGGACCATAGTGAGAGAGGCGTTATGTGAGTTGGCTTCATTGGGTTCGAACAGCGATGATTAGCGTTATGCGGGGACTTATTGCATGCAGATTGTAGGTTTGGTATGTTAGGGTTTATTCTGGACATCTGCTATAATACTCAGGATGTAGTTGCGCTAGGTTCACCTTTGTTTCATGCTGCAACTTGAGCTCTTGCTCTGCTACGGGTGGTGTTTGGACTCCAAGGATGTCATTCATTAAGMGGGAATAAAGAAAGGTGTTAAGAGCTAAGTAGCTCCACCRTTAATGCCGTTCTGTACCCGTCKGAAATTGGTCGCGTCCGTAACTTGGTGGGTATATTGTTTGAATTTGTTGAACAAATGATGTTCCTCGGAGAAGGACTCGCTTCAAGCTGTTRACTGTAGCGATGTAAACTGCTTGTAGACTCTTTTACAGAGTGCATTGGGTTTCATTATATAAATGCTTAATGTTAGATAGCAGAAGAAAGCCTGCTAAAATCTGTATCCTCTCTAACTGCGTCGTGCTKTATACAGGCGAACATTTTGGAGCGGCGTTGTTATTGACCGACAGATTTGCCAACAACGTCTCTTTGTCCTTGCGCCAAGTGCTGCTGGCTAGCGACTTGAARATGTGTGCGGAGTGGAGGAGTACTGACCGTCGAATGTAACAGTTAAAATTTGATGTTTGTTTATCTTCGGATTTATAACATCATAAATGGAAATTTTTAAGTCCAGTCCAATTTGTAATTAGAGTGCACGTGGATTTGGCAGTCTCCTTGACCGTTGACATCGATATCATTGGCCATAGCAACCGCGCCGTTAGTTCTGCTTTCATCAGTTTTAACAAAGAAGCGAAGCACATAAGTCTGGTAATGAACGAGAGAAAGACGAAATATCTCCTGTCATCATACAAACTGTCATCGCATTCGAGACTTGGCTCACACACCACTGTTGACAGTCATAATTTCGAAGACGTTGATAATTGCGTCTAGTCAGCATCGAAATCCAATGCATAATAACTCTTGCCGACAGGTGCTATTTCGGACTGCGTACTGGCTATTGCGMAGTAAAGTCCTCTCTAGACGAACAAAGACCAACGCTTCAAGTCACTCATCATCCCCGTCCTGCTATATGGTGCAGGGGCATGGAACATGTGATGAGTCGACGTTACGATTTTTCACGTTAAAGGTTCTGCGAAAGATTTATAGTACGAGATATACGTCGCCATTGACATAGTTCAGCGAACTAAGAGACAGCGGTTATGATGACTCGGAATCCGAATGGATGAAATTATTAATTCCCACTCAAATAATGATGACAGAAGATTGGGAAGAAGGGTTTCATTGTTGATTACACTGTGGAACATTTTTGGTATAATTGTCTGGGGGGTGAGAAATTACAAGTCAGGGTGATGGTACTAGGTCAGTATAGTAAAACCCTCAAAGGGTTTGGCGTTCGTATGTGTCCGTTTTTTTTTATATTCTTACCCCGTTTTTCCTTACCTTGATGTTTTTTCGCTTGGTTTTTAGTTTTAGTTGTAACATGTTGGCACAAAGACCAACAAAAAAAAAAAAAAAAAAAAAAAAAAAAAAAAAAAAAAAAAAAAAAAAAAAAAAAAAAAAAAAAAAAAAAAAAAAAAAAAAAAAAAAAAAAAAAAAAAAAAAAAAATTCCCGAGAATGCTTTTAACATCCTTGCGACAGAAACAATATATATCAATCAAAATATTGTTGAATGCGTCACTTTTAATCAACTTTCGTATATCTGGAAGATTTAGTACGCCTGATTGGAAAAAATTTAAAAGGTCATAAAAAAAACTGACTTCGGGTGTAACCAAACATTTTATACTTTTAAAGCTTAAAGCAGAGACATGTTTATTTTTCTAATTTCAATAGTATATCTGACAGGTTGACCGATATTTTCAGTAAGAAGCTCGCAATTGCAACAGGAGGGGGGGTCTCGGAACTTGAATAGATTAGTTGGTCATAACTTTTATGTCATGTAGGTCCTGAGGTATGAGTTTTCACCTAAATGGGGGTGGTGCCACGCTCTTCGTCTTATTTTGACCGCCACTTCTATAACGCCCTCTTGTGAGTACAATAATGTCTCTCGTGTATATAGTTATCGATTTATTGCACTTTTAACAGAACCGTTATATGGGGAGTGGGCGAGGTTAGCCTCTGAATTCAGCCAATTTCACAGTGTCGGTAGATGTGCCTAAGGAATTTGACCTGACGGAATTTTATTATTATAACTTGTATAGTTTWGGTGATACAGACATGAACTCTTTTAGAGGGCCGGCGCATAGATGAGCMTTTCTACTGCCAAATCGTATAACCTTAATTGAGTGCTTAATTATAGCACTTTATATAGCGTCGTTTAATGACGTTTTGTGGGCGTGGTAGTGGACCTATTACGCCTATCTACGAATTCGCTTTTCCGCAAGGAACATGTGTACCRAGTTTTAATYAGRTATATTTTAATTTTTACTCAAGTTACAGTTTRCRTGGAAGRCGGACGAACAGRCAGACAGTTAMCTGGATTTTAATTCGTCCCGTMGTCTTGRTCATTTATATAATTAGTTTTGTTGTGAAAGGTTGAAGAAAATGCCTTTTATACAGCAAGAGTATGTGCCACTTGCAGGTCACTAAAAACCACCCACCCTAGCACCGTTTACGCATTACTGCAGGGTAGCGTTCCACATTTCTCGTCTTAAAGCCAACAAGTCATTATTTGCGTCCAGGTCTTGTTTTTTTATTTATCCATAGTATGTTTTCTTTGTAACTTTTCACGATCTTCCAGTGTTTCTCGCCTTGAAGGCTGACAGTTATGATATTGTATTGGATCATATTTCGCTCTGTTCGCCAGCGTCTGCATTTGGGAAATGTGTCTTCAGTGTCGATTGCAACTTTTAATATAAGAAACAATTCTTCGACTTTTACAAGTTTATATTTATATGTGAATATTTCCATTAATATTCGTGCCGGAATTACATCTCTTTAGTAAAAATAATCCAAATTGCCATGTTACCAGTTGGACCACTATTTTATGTTTTCGATTAGCCAGGTCATCCATTTACCGTGACG